TATTTTTAATATAAAAATTAAAATAAACTATATTTATTATTTTGAAACAAGAGAGAGAGTAGTTCTAAATTTCTCTAATAATGTTTTATTTTTTTAAAGAATTATCCTTTAAAACAATTATTTTTCATTTTTATAAAATAAAACGAATGCCTTTGAAGTATAGGCAAACACCTTCTGCGTCTCCCAACATGAGGCGCATGCACATTGCCCCACTTGATATTTTGGTGGGTTTAAAGTTGATTTAATTAAAGTCCCTCAATCAACGAGGCAAAAAGACAGAGAAATCAGCAGCAAATATCTTGCGGGGCCAATGAAATGAATTCGATCCCGTGGAAATAAGGTAAAAATTTATTTATTTATTTTATATTATAATATTTTTAATTTTTTATTTATTAAAATTTTAAAAAATAATTTTTATTTATAATATTTTATTAATTTTATTAATTAATTGTTAATTTTATTAATCGATTATTAATTAATAAAAAATTATTTTTAATTAATAAAATTAATAGTCAATTAATAAAATTATTTTGTTAATTGATTATTAATTTTATTAATTGACTATTAATTAATTATTAATTGATAAAAATTTACTTTCAAGTGATAGAATTAATAATTAATAATCAGTTAATAAAACTAACAAAATATTATAAAATGAAAGCAATTTTTTTCAAATCTAATAGATAAAATGTTAAAAGTGTCATAATATAAGATGAGAGATTAAAACTTATAAATCTAATAAAATAAAAAATTTAAAAATAAGTTTTTACCTTCCTTTATTTACATTTTATAATGTTAGGAAATATTATCAATTTATAATATTATGTAATATTTAATAAAATATAATGTTACTAATTAAATAAATATATAATATTATAAATAAAATTTTAAATTAAAATAATTAATTATATAACTATATATTATATTATAATTATAACTTTTTTTATTTCCTTTAATTTATGCTGTTGCTTTCAAAAATTGCACATTGATTGATGGATTAAATTAAATCAGCTCGAATTTCAAATGCCTGTTAAAAAATCAAAATTAAACGAGTTCATGAGTGGGGCAGGCCCAATTATTACTGATGGGATGGGTGATGGCCGAATAAAAAATTGAAGTAGGCCCAATTATTAGACGCTGAGTCCCCTTCTCTACATGTTCAACAGAGATGGTCAGTAAACAATGTTACTGTTACAAATTTACAATTGTTCAACGCCTATAAAATGCAAGTTTAGGTGTTGTAAATTATTATGTATTGTTTTTTTTTTTAAAAAAAAGAAGAAGAAGTTAAATTCCAAGTAATCCAGAGTTATCCTAATTTTGGTATGATCGGACAACTAAAATATAAATGAAAAATAATTTAAGGATAATTTTTGTTATATTATCTTTTTATATAATTTTATATATTATTTAAATTATTGATTGTTTTTATTTATTTAAAATTTATGATATTAAATATATTTATTTATTTAATAATACATAAAAATTATATAAAATAACAATATAAAAAAATTATTCTTATATCATGACCCTAAGGTACAAATATA